CACATTCAAGAGTCCATACTCATTTAGAAAATGCTCAGATCTGCCTAAATCTACTTCTGCAATGAAGCTGCTTCTCTGTGTAAGCACCTGATCATGGCAAACAAAACAGGACAATGACTGTTAAAACGAAGCCCAGTGAGGAAGCTGGCGGCCATGAAAGCCCAAAGTGGGCTTTCATGGCCGCCAGCTTCCTCACTGCATCTCCCTCTTTGGCTTACTCTCCCTCTCCTGGAGAAGCATTTCCTACCTCTTTTAAGCTTCTAGATTTTATTTCCACTCCAAAGAGTAACTCCAAAGAGTATTCCTTCACAGTTCCAAAACAAAATCTTCCAACCTTGTATCAAGTCTTCTTTACCATTAAAATGAATTAACTGGTAAAGAGGAGACAATGCAATGTTGAACAGCAATCAGAAGACAAACATTTTAGGTATAAGTATTTATTATACAACTATGTTTAAGAGCATGCACCACTGGAAAAAAGAATAGTCAGTAGAACAGAGGGATCTTATAACTGGACCAAATGTGCAGATGATGAAGGCAAGGTCACTGTAATGCCATGGAGAAGGCGTGATCTTTTAAAAGGATCTTTGTGTGTGTGTGTGTGTGTGTGTGTGTGTGTGTGTGTGTGTGAAGACACACATGTGCCATGACATGCAGGTGTTTGTGTCATGCCATGCATGTGGAGATCAGAGGATAAAGCTAGCAAGTCTTCTCAGGAATCATTTCTTTCCTGCCACTTTGTGAGTTCTGAGGATCAACTTCATAAGTTGTCAGGACTGCTTAACCCTGTGCCTGTACCTGCTGAGTCATGTTGCAGACCCCAAAATTTGGCCTTTTAAATAACAGTATGGGCCAAGTGGACATACACAGGAAAAAATAGTTTTGAACTCTAATTTATACCATATTAAAAATTAATACCAGGTGAGCTAAATATGAAAATAAAACAATAAAACTTTTAAGGGGAAAAGACCATTATAATGATCATGTTATATACAAGATTATCTCAAATTAGTATAAATTGGATTACAGTAAAGTTAAAACTTAGTCATCAGCAAACATGCTATTAGGGAAATGAAAAGATATACCACAGAGTGGAAAATTTTTGCAATATAAATATCTAACAAAAGAAGACAATATGTAAATAATTATCACATGGCAATAAGGAACAAGTAATCACCTAAACAGAAAATGGATAAAAGACTTGCATAAACACTTATTAAAACAAACAGAAAATTATTAGTTATTAGGAAAATGCAAGTTTTAAATATGACAGTATACCTGTCTGTGTACACAACCATAAAGCCTGAAATGGACAGTTCCAAATGTTGGCATAGATGGAATTTCCCACACAACTGCAGTGATGGTGCAGTTGGGAAGTTCTCTTTGGGAATTGCAGGGCAGTACATCCAAAAGCAGAGCAAACATATGTTTGAAATTCAGCAATTCTATTTCTTGATGGACATACAAGAATAATAATCACAAAAATGCTCATTGGAACATACACAAATACATTTATGGCAGCAGCATTCATAAGACTGGGAAACTGGAAACTACCTCAATTCCCTCACGAGTCAATAGACAAACAAATTGCAGCATATTTAGACAAAGGGACACTGCCCGATAATGAGAATGAACAAATCATATCCACAGACAACAGTCAGGAAAAATTTTATGAGTAAAAACACAAAACTTTTGTGAGACATGATTCAGTTCAGATTTCCAATCTCCTTAAATCTTCACAAAACAGAGATCTACATTTTGTGAAGCTTATCATTCTTTTTTTAAGCCTCCATTATATTCTCTTTAAAGAAGAAATGCTGTTATTGTCTCTGTCACTACTTGTTCAGGTTCTTTATAAGTAAGAAAATTACTCTGAAGTTGATCAGAACACAGGCACCATTTATTTTTTCATTCAGCGTTTTTTTGCCACTGGGTCAACTGTGAGCTCCTAGATTTGTTTCTCAAACCCAGTGACCACTCTGCACTCCTAAGCATTTTGCAAGCTGTTACCTAACCTGCATAAAATGGTGTGACAAAAGCAACTACCTTATAGAGCTGTTGTAAGGATTAAATGAGATAACGTGTGTAACAGTAATGGCTCGGTAGCTGCTTTCATTTCATACGGTTTGTACACAATGAATGTTCTTGATAGGGTGACTGATATTAAGTATTGTCAGGCTGACATAATATAAATTATTAAAGGAATGTGGGATTTGTTATAGATTTGTGCGGTAGAAGTTTCACATTTTGATTTTGACAAAATATAGAGGGCGTATAGTCCCCAAAGTAGATGCAGCTCCAATCACTGAAATTCTTCTTAAATCAGGTGAAGATTACTTGACTTCTCTTGTATTTCACATAATCTATTTTCCACTTAAAATAATTCAGGCCATTAGGAGTTTTATTGCTTCCTTTCTTTTAACTTTGGAGATACAGAGAGCACAGACATGTGCTTATAGACAGAACGCCTACTGTATTCCCTGGGCCTGAGCTATTAATATTAAGTCCCAAACTAGACATCTACCACCATTTTCTTTCTTACATCCATATTCATTTATAGGAAAGGTACTAAGGGCAACTTCCAGGGAAACATTTTCTACTGCTTAACTCAAGTAATAAATCACAGTAGCTATTTCAACTTTTGTCTACAAAACAGTTATGCAACTTATTGAACTTAATGGAAATTCTTAATAGGAAGGAAAATTTTTTCATTGTATTATTTGATTGCATTGAAAGTTCCAGGTCTACCTTTGAATAAAGAGAAAATAAAGGGCTGGATGTGGTGGGACACCATTTTAATCCTAGCACTCAGGAAGAGGCAAGAGGATCTCTGCCACCACTCTGGTCTATACAAGTTCCAGGCCAGCTACAGCTGCTGGGAGAGTCTACCTCAAACAGAAGAAAAACCAGGAGGAAAAGTAATGGTTATTTACATCTTACTTCCATTCCATCTTACCAAAATAAACATAAAGATTAAAAGATAAAGATAGAATATGTGTTTATCAGTATAAGATGTTTAGTACTAAATTTACTTCTTTGCTCTTGAACAAACTTTATTGTGAAAAATAAATTCATAAAATCCAGTTATGTATTTTTCAACTACTGTTGGCTATCCATGTAGATTTAAATTCTATAAATAATGGAAAAGTCTATTTGACATGTATTTCATGAGCCAAGGATAAGGATGGTTGGGCATCGGCATAAAGAGCTTGGTCCTAGGCCATTATATAGGCCTATTTTTCACCCAGTAATCTGGTCTTTTATAAATATTAAATGCTATCAAATGCCCTTGACTTTATGAGGCTATGACTAACCTTGAAAACAATTCTGAAGTACACTGAGACCTCTTCCCCCCAGCCCCAGCGCCTTCTACCTCTTCTTTCTAAGGATCAGATTTTTTTTTTTTTTTTTTTTTTTTTTTTTTTGTGGTCAGTGATGGTAAATTTTGACAGTTTGCTAAGCAGTGGAAATTATGCTGTAAGCAAAACTCTGCAAGACAGACATTCCTACAAAGTGTTCTAGTTATAATTTTTCCAATGGTTACTGGCTACTCTTGTGGGATCCAATTCCAAGAACAACTTTACTTGAAGCAAGGGTTCTCTGTTCTGAGACTAAAATCACACGGACATGTATATTGAAAGCATCAAGGTTTTTCTTCCAGTGTTCAGGAGCATGACCCCTGATCTCTTGCTTTATCTGCCTTCTAGACTAAACTTGCAAAATGAAAATAGGTTACAATGCCATATATTCAGAAACAGTACACATGTGAAAATATATGAACACCTTAGAAGATAGAGTTATTTAGCGAAATGATGATATTAAAAACACTTGACTTAAATCTTGGAGTTTGTCAGTGACTCTGACCTTTTCCTGATGTGGAAAATTCAGGTGAACTTGGCTCCTGCTGAGTGTCTGCCTTTCTCTGGCCCCCACTCCCCGGCTCCCACTGAATTTCCGTGCATTTTGAGAACTGCCTTGGCAATCAAATATGTCTTCATTACTGATACCATAAGAGAAAACTGTATACTTGTCATATTTTACATCACCTTCCATCTATTTTTGTGGTCCTTTTTTCTCATTGATGACTTGGAGATTTGATCAACCAATGCCAAATTTTTTTTAGCAAACCAAGAGTTGTAAAAAAGCATTTTGCTGTGTAATGATGAATATGAGTTCTATTCTGATGTCTGTGAAACAGAATCTGAGCATACCTGAAAATCAGAATAGATCTGAGACAAAAACAAACAAATAACGGCAAAAACCACTTAGGGAGTCCATTTAGCGTTGCTTGTATTTAGCACACATGTGTTCAGAGCCTACCACTTGGGACTGAATAACCTATGGAGGCCCTGGAGTAAACGGTCTCCCTCCCTCAGCAGCCAGGATTGCCTGTTACTCTACGTGAAGGTGAAACCTTGTAAAATTTCCCTCCTCTGCTCTGCCACGTCCACTGGTGTCGTCATTATGCAGGTCTTGTATAGGCAGCTGTACTGTTGAGATTTCATGATGATAACAATAATCAAAGAAGAGGTCACCAAATTGAGAGGGATAGGGAGTGTGACTCGGAGGGGACGGGGAAAGGACGGAGACTGTAAATACAGTCCTAATGTATGAAACTCTCAAAAATAAAAATTTAAATTATAAAACAGTTTAAAACAATAGAAGTTTGTATTTATTGAAATGAAACTAATTTAGTTTTTTGTTGTTGCTGTTGTTTTGTTTTGTTTTTAAGGAGTCAGTTCTGGCGTTCCCTGGTAGGGGATGAGTGTTACAAGTCCTGACATCATTCAAAAGCTCAAAAGAAAAGGAGATAAGTAGTGACTTGACTATCAACAGCACACTCATTTTAACAATTCAACACTCTGCATCATTCATTCATTCATTCATTCATTCAGTTGTTCCCCTATACTTTCTGTTCCTCCCCTAAATTAGCAACCTAATTTTTAAATAAAGGTTTAAGATTTCTCTGAGTAATAGACATAAGAAATAGTAACACTTACTTTCCAGTAATAAATTGGCTCCTGGATGGTGTGCAAATGGGCTGGACATAGTAGTTCTCCAGTTTGACTCCTTCAGCTGCGAGTTTGTCAAGAGTGGGCGTCTTTATCTCGGATCCATGATAACCCACATCTCTAAATCCCTGATCATCCGCTAAAATGAAAATGAGATGGGGCTGAGAGGTGGCGGTTGTACTGGCCTCGGCTCTCTCTCCAACATGAGCTCCCTGGGGCCCTTCCTCTTCCTCTAAGCCCTGTCCCCAGCACAAGTAACCATAAGTGAGCAGACTGGGGACCCAGAAGCCTGCCAGGACCCCCAGAGCTACCATCTTCCCACGCCAGACCCAGGCCTGTGGAAGCGGCTGCTGGGCGCTGTCCTTGGGGGTCCTTCACGCGGGTCGCAGTGGATGCTCCAAGCGCAGAACCCTGCCCCCTGAGCCGCTGTGGGTACACTCATGCGCACAGGTGGGGAGACCCACCCGAAGGTTCAGTGTCTCCACCTGCAAAGGAATCCTGTGTTCCGCCCAGCTGTGTCCATGTCCCATGACTTCAGCCCTCCAGAGGTGATGGTTTAACTGCTGGGACCTAGGGGGAAAACTAGAAGCCAGCCGCTTTCCATCAGCTGTCACGTTTTCCTTCTAGCACCATACAGGACCTTTCACAAAAAAGTTGGTGTTTCCACCCAAAAGTTCTCGGGAGGACAAAAAAAGTCAAGCAAGGATTACTAACCACGCGGGACAGGGACGCCCACTGTTCACAGCGTTCCCCCTTTTAGGGAGCCGGCAGACCCCACTTGCACGCAGGGCGGATGGTGGGCCGGCAGTGCAGTCTGTCCAGCCGCCACGGCCCCTGCGACGCCTTGCAAACTTGCACCAGGCGACTCTAATGACAGACTGCGCGGAGGGGAGCCGCTGATGACCTTCCCGGCTTTTCCAGGAAGATTTCCCCGCCGTTGGCTGTACCACTCTTCAAGCGGTGCAGGGGAGCTCGCGGTGCCCCTCCCTCTCCCTCCGCTAAGCATCCGCTCCTCTGCAGGAACTTTCGGCGCTTCCTCCTCTGCCGGGAGAGCTTGGGTGGAGATCCAGATGTAGTCCGGCCAGAGTAGTCCTCTAGCCCACGTGTCCTCAGGGCCCTTAGAGTCGGGCGAACTTCCGTGGCTGGTAGAGTTTGTGCCCCAGCTTGTCAGATGCTGGCTCTTTTCTCGCCAGCGGAACTCAACTTGGTACTCAGAGCTCCGGCTCCCCGGGAAGAGGGAGGGCCCAGGCCGCCCAGGGGGCTGGCCTTCTGTTCTGGGAGGAGGATCTGTAGGGTAAGGTGGCTTGGCTGGAGCGGGAGCTGCTCTTGGCACCCGCCTCTTGGCTCCCTGGGGTCCCAGGAGGCTGCAGCCTTTGGCGCCCACACCCTGGCAAAGGGCGTGTCTTTCTTTGGGTCTGTGTGTGGAGGGCCCCATTGCACATCCTGAGACTTTTGCAAGTTTCTTGGAAGGAATGACAGGAAGGGCAGGAGTGTCAACAGATGGCCCACTAACTCTTTAGTACCTCAGGTTTTCCTTTATACCCATTTCTATCAGTACTTCCTCCCTCCCTTCGTCCCTCCTTCCCTCCCTCCCTCCCTTCCTTCTTTGTTCAGTCAGAACTGTCAGAACTCCAACTGGTAAAGTAGAATTTCTGTTATCAGCAATTGGCCAGTCCAGCTAACTTTACTCATCATTTTCTTCCTAAATGAAAATATTAAAAGTGCTCATTTCTTTTCTCTCTTCAAATTTACAGGAGTTCCCCAGTCAAGAATATGGAGAGGAAAAGACATTTCACCTCAAGAACGTTTGTGTGTGTGGTATGTGTGTATGTGTGTGTGTGTGTGTGTGTGTGTGTGTGTGTGTGTGTGTGTGTTGGTGTGTCTGTGTGTTTGAGACAAGGTTTCATGTAGCCCAGGCTGGCCTGGAACTCACCATGTAGCTGAGGATGACCTTAAAACTTTCATCCTCCAGCTCACACTTTTTGGAATTATTAATCCCTGGGAGAAACAGCACCCCCTAAAGGGTCCTTGGTTTCATTCATAAAATAATGTAAGAATATACCCAAATAGAAGCTTTAGGACAATTTTATTAGAACTTAAAGAAAAATCCTCCAGACAGGCAAGTTGCAAATCTCTTGAGGCAGAGAATGGAGGGGAGAAGAAAAAAGCTTTGAAGCCAGGCAGGTTTAGAACCCCATGGAGATCAGACACATGGCAGACTAATAGCCACACGATGGGGAGAAGGAAACTTTAGAGAAAAAGTAAAGAAATATAAGATGTGGGGCTGGAGAGATGGCTCCATGGTTAAGAACACTGACTGTTCTTGCAGAAGACCCAGGTTTGAATCCCAGCACCCCCTTGGCAGCTAACAACTCTCTGTAACTCCAGTTCCAGGGGATCTGACAGCCTCTTCTGTCCTCCGCTGGCATTGCGTGACACGGGTGCACTTATTTACATGCAGGAGTAACACTCATACACGTAAAATAAAAATAATAAATAAAATATTTAAAACAAACAAACAAAAGAAATACAAGATGCTGGGGCAGCCCAAAGCGTTGGGGAAAGCATGCTTAGAAAAATGGTATAAGGAAGTAAACGAGAGAGATTATGCTTCCGAAAAGAAGGCAGGATTTACAAGAAGCCACATGTCTGTGACTCACATCCCTAAGAACTGAAATAGGAGGTGGGGATTTGGAGCAAGGAAAGCTCATCTCATTAATGTACTAGGTATTCTGCCCATTTGTTTAGCATAACCTAAGATGATCCCGACTTCCTAGGGGTGGTCCTACGACCAGGTGATTGGCCTATGAAACTGGAAAGGTGGGTCTTCAGACAGGCAGACTAGACATTTTACTTTTTGTTACTCTAGCATTATGAGTCTTCCAAGTCCTGGTTTATCTAGTGTTGGGAATCAAGCCCAGAGCTTGGTATATGCTAGGCAAGCACTCTACCAGCTGAGATTCCAGACTTTGCATGTGTTTTTGCTGCAAATACTGTTTCCCATCTAGTACTCTGGGGTCTCCCCTTCCCATGATGCCCTTCCTCTCCCCTTCCACAGCTCTCTTCCCTTCCCATCTCCCTCCCTCTTACCCTTTGGTCCTTTCTTGCCTCTTCTTACACCACTCTCCCCATTACTAAAACTTGTCTTCCCTCAGCAAGCACACCACTTTTACTTCAGTTATCACATTTTAGAACACTGCCAGACGAGGTATTTCTTTATGGAAGAGGCAGTCAATGCCAAAATTATTGAGATAGGGTTATTTTTCTTCTTCCCCAAATTTTTAACACTTACTCACTGAACATCTACTGTGGGCTGGCATCGAAGATGCTAGACTCTTGCAATTAATGACTAAATTATAAAACTGTGTTTCATTTAGCCATCATTTCATGTTGGCTAAATTTCAACTTTGTTGCTAAAGCTCCTGTTCAATTCCTAAGGCAAAACTTGGCAAAATGGAAGCTTAACCTTGAAGACAGGATGCTTAATTTCACTCATATATTCAGGCTTTCTACCAGCTTCTGCTGATCCCTGAAGCCATTCTGGTTGGTCATGGGAGAGATGGTCAGTTTTAGAAGAATTGGTTAGAAATTTGACTAGCAGTTCTGTGAGTTTCCAAACATACGATGAGGGAGCTGAGCACAAGGTAGGGCTCTAGGCTTAGCTGATCACTGAGGTGCTGGAGTGGGAAAGGCATAAACAGGTAGAGACCCAGATACTTTTAGTCAAGGGGGTGGGTGCTGATGAGGGAAATGGAAGACTTGTCCATGTTTCTGTGCAACAAGGAGAATCATTTCCAATTCAGATTTCAAGTATAATTTTTAAGCCAATATTTATGGAATATTTCCTGTCAGACAGCCACAGTACTCTGGATACTGATACCTTATGCACACTCACACATACATGCTTCTAAGTCTTGATGTAGTGCCTTATGACTTTACCCCTCTCCACCACCTTAAGGTATATGCTTCCATTCAACAATATTGGAAGAGCTGTGTCAGTGCCAGAGGTGGGGAGGAGCTAAATCAGAATGCCTCTGCTCTGGTAACACCTCCAGTCTGCGGGGGCGGGGGGGGGGTCGCAAATTGTTCAGCTATCACCAAGTGTTACTTATGAAAAGAGCATTCTGTAGCAAAGGAACAGCAGTGAATGATTAAAACAAGGAGCCTGACTTAGACCATGTGGTTAGGAGGTGAAATCATGCAGGAAGTGACCCTTAAACTGAAGGAATATTTTTTTAATCTTAATGCAGAAAATTTAACCTGACTTCAAAACTCCAGTTCTTCAAAACATACACTTCCTACTACTAGAATTAAAAACCTTTTCTAGCCACCAAGCATAGAATGAACATAACGGGAGTTATGATTCTGTTGTGTATGCACTAACCTTATAAGTAAGTAAATTTGCAGTTCTTATTATAGAATTAAGTCTCGTGAACTCTTGCTTTAAGCAACAGTTTTATCTATCAAGTTGAAATACGTTTACAACTTAGTTGCTTCGTGATTTTGAAAGAACGTTTAATCATAAATAAACCCCTTTAGAAGTGGAATGAGTATATAAATTTCAAGGCCATATTTGATTTGATTTGATTAGGTTAAAAAAATAGGATTTCTCGGGGCTGGAGTGATGGCTCAGTGGTTAAGAACACTGGTTGTTCTTGCCGAAGACCTGGGTTTGAATCCCGGCGCCCATATGGCAGCTAACAACTGTCCGTAACTCCAGTGCCACGGGATCCAGCAGCCTCTTCTGACGTCTGTGGGCATTGCACTGCACGGTGGATTTACCTACATGCAGGCAAGACACGCATACACATAAAATAAAAAATAATAATAAGTAAAAAAAATTTAAAAAGTAGGATTTCTCAGGGATGAAGTTAGCATAGACTCAGTTTTCAGGTGAGGCACGTCAGGAAATTAGATGAAACCTTATTCCTTAAAGTATGACTGCCACCTGGGAGAGAAGAGAAGGCACCGAGAAAAAAGCATTTTGGATAAAAGAAAGCACCTGGCTAAAGGCGCATTTGAATTGGGAGAGTGCTGGAAGCGACGCTGCTAAGTTCTGGTACCATTATATGTTGAGTGGATCTGAAGGATCCGAAGAGCTGGCCCTTGACCTGGGACTTGGGAAGGAAGGATCTCACGAGCAGGACACGCCAGGTTAGCGTGTGCTCTTCTGCGATGAATTTTTAGAAGCAACAAATGAAGCTTCAGCCCGTGAATTTTACGAATTGTCATTTTCTCCCAAGATTATTGAAACAGTGAATTGTTTTTATTAACACAAGTCATGATGAAAATATAGAAAAAGAAAGCCTTGAAGCATTTTAGGAAAGGTTCGAGGGAGGAAAGAATTCCACAAGTACCACAGAG